TGTGACGGTTGCGAAAAAACATCACTTTTTAATTTAAATGAGGCAAAATCGCACACTGCTGCTTACTTTGAGTTTTGTGTGTGTGCAATTTCGAGCTGGATTTCTTTTACCAGGAAATGAATTTTTTTCATTTTGTGACAAGTCTTCTAAGGCAATGGTTCTCAAAGTATGGTTCGACGCCCACCGGTGGAATAGGACCGGTAAATGGTGCGCGGGTCTTGTGCGGATGAAAACGTTTGAGAACTACTATTCTAAGGTGTTCTTTCGTGACAGGATCAAACGTGGCTAAATTTTAAAACAATTCTGGAAGCTTCCATTTCCTGGTGTGAAAAGCTTCTCATTATTTCTATGAAGAACGATGTTTCGAGTTACGTGAACTCTTTCCAATGCCTCTGCTCTCGTTAAATAAGGCTTATCGACTGTTTGGTCTACTTTCAATCGAATGTTTAATCTTTTCAATGTTGAGATGCTTCCAGATGACCTGCTGACATTTTTATTACCGATCTATAAGAGCTGGCCAATTTTTTCATTCCTTTTCTTTCCCCGTTTGACGACAGTAAAAAGTTAGCTATGCAGCAGAAACGAGACACCGAATCGCATGTAACCGAAAATTGAACCTATTATTTGTCTTGATCTTCTGCTTCATTGTCTGGTAACGTGTTAAGAATTTCACCCCTTTTCGTCTTTGCGAAAGTCAGATTTTAGCAGCTGTATTCGACCCATTTCGATCAACCATCGCTGAGTCGATGTTGGGTCATTTGGACTGATCACCCAAATCTTTCTCGCTTCGTTTTCTCTTTACAATTGCTCATTGTTATCAGAAGCTGTGGTTTCCCCAATTTCTGAAATATTGTAGCAGGAAGTTGTACTAACTATGGTGGATCATCGGCAAGTCTGTTGGCTTATAAACGCTAAAAAGTTTGGATTTCGATACTTGTAAAGGGCATAGCACAGATAGCCCTTTGTGTAGCTTTGCGCTTAATAACAAACAAAATTAAAACAAGTGTTTCAAAAATTTAAGAAGAGCGCCCCTTTTGATTTTTCCTCTCATTTTCCAATGTTAAGCGCCAGAAAGATGGTACTTTTTATTCTCACTGTTTAACCACTTTTGAGTATCGCTGTTTTCACTTTTTTTTTAGCTATCATTTTTTTTAACCATAAAAAAAAATTTTTTCATAGCATCTTTATTCTGTGCGCTCCCTGTAAGAAAAACAAACACGTATGTATAGTTCACACTTCTGTTATATACCACATGGCCTAGTCACATTTTTAGGGTATTTTTTTATATTACGCAATTATTGAAAAAAGCAAGATATTTCTGTTGAAAGAGGGAGGGAAACCGAACTCTCCGCCTTCACCCTCCCATTAACTATGCTTGCGGAGTGCTCAAATAGGGGAAGCATAACTAGCAGAGTTGTCAACTTTTCGAAGGCCATAGATAGGCCTAAATAAAATGTTTTTAATTGTGTACCAGTTTAACGTTGAATATTATTGACTATAATCAGAGAAGTGATATTGCATACGTACAGCGACCTTAGCAAATGTATTTATCGGTTAAGATTATTTCAGTTTTGTTTGCCCCCCTCCCCTCCATTATTTGTCTGTCTGGTAATTTTAGATCTTATGAGTGAGTGAAAAGGAAGTGTTTCAATGTCTTTCTCACAACACCTACCATATCCAGTGCCGATAAGACCTTTCACCTAATACTACACACACCAGTTTTCATGAACAACTTATGACGTGAACCTAATTAGGTGAATGAAAATTGGCCCTAATACTAAACTTGGTTTATGTGGGTAAATAAATAAGTGTCAAAAAATAAAGACCGCAATATATCGTGATGTGATTTTGCAGCTAACACTAACAGATTCTTATATTGTGATAGTCAGGTTTCTGAGAGCTCCGTAAAAAAGGTTTAGGATTAAGTATTATTAATATTATTTAAGATTAATATGTACTATGTAATATGGTCGGTATTGGAGCCAGTTTATGGATCGATTCAAAAAACAAACAGTGCATTAGAAAGCCTCTCTGCGTAAGGATGTAAACAGATATAAAATGCGGAACTTTATTTTATTTACTTGAAATGACAAGTAGGACTTGGTCATGTGCTTTTGTTGTGTTTTTTGTAGCCTCAAAAACATCTGAGTTGCCCACTGTAAATATATTTTTTCGAAATAAATAGTAATAATAATGACGAAAATAAAGTTTGATCATACATATATATATCCTCCTTTATAATCAGTGTAATTCTTTTTCATAATATTTACAGTAGCAACTTATTGGGGTCAACTGCAGTTTTGTATAAATTTGTAACATTATTTTGAGAACTGCTAGAGCCAGACAAAAGTTCTATGAAGTGCCACACTTATCTATATTTCAAAGAATATTCCCTTACCAAAGTTCCTACTAAGTTAATACATTGGTAAAAAAGCAAGTGAATCCAAAACTGATCTAGCAGAAAAGTCCACAAACTGTGGTCAACTAGTCCTCAAACTGATGCTGTTAATCTATTAGATGAGTAGATATTGTTACCAAGTGTATCTCCTAAAAAAATAGGAAAACCTGTTTTTTAATAGAAAAACCAGGGTACATATACATCCCGTGCTTGTGATATTTAAAGAAATAGTCTTAAAACAATTGAACACAATCATAAAACCGTTATAAAACCTGTTGACTGGTTTAGTAAAGTATCCAGCACACCAGAACAGAGTATTGTAGTTCATTGAACTCGAATGCATCACCTACACTAGTTTTATTCATTCACTGTCCATTCAGAACAACTGAGATGTAAAAGGGTTCAAATTGTTCTGACAGAAAAACAAAGAAATAAGCAAGATTTCCTGTTTTGTTGTCCAAGGGTATGAAACTTGCGAAAAGTTGGCACTTGTTCAACACTAACATTTTAAAGTGAAATTTAAACACTGCCTCAGCTGGAAATGTTTGCACGAATTAAAATTGAATTTTTAATAATGTGTGTGTGATAATCATCCAGTAATGATTTTGATTTATAATGCACAAACAAATGTACAGTAATAGTAGCTAAACAAAAGGAGAAGGATAGTTTGAAAGCAAAAGTACCTTGTTGGAATTTTTAAG